CTGATGGCATTTTGATTTCTGTTCATTCCCTTGCAATTGATGAATCTAGCATGACAGGAGAGAGCAAAATTGTGAGTAACTCTCTTTTTTTGGGCATCATTATTGTGTGTATAATTTCTTATTATCACACTACAATGCTTTACGCAGGTCCACAAGGAACAAAAGTCACCATTTTTTATGGCTGGGTGCAAGGTTGCTGATGGTTATGGTACTATGTTGGTGAGATATTACATAATATTTGATGGATTCCTGTAGCTTTTTGTTTAAATGACCATTCTATAATGCATAGCCTAGTTTTATCTGTATCATCTTTGTTTTGGATACTAATTACTATTAAGGGATTCCCAGGAAGGAGTGAGAGAAAGGAAAACTTTGTTATCTGATACGATATTGTATTATTGTTCCAACATCAGATTTGCTACTAAAAAGGAATATATATAAGTTGAGTATCTGATGTCAATGCTCCCCAAACACAAAATAAAACATGACAAATTCTATGAAATGACATCACAGTCTAAAGAAAAAAGGAGGTCTCGTGTTAACTTACATAATCAGCCATGTGTCGTGCGAAGCTCTTTGTGCCACTAGTGTGATTCATTTTTTGCCTCTTGCGGCTTTCAATATTCTTCTCACATCTAACCTGAGGGGCACAACATAATAAAAATATATGCCTAATTTGAAATCATAAGTTTATATTATGGAGGGTAGTACTTACTTTATTTTTTGGATCAGTGTCCCAATAGTTAACCATTGCCCGCCATTGGTCGCGATCTACACGATCATCTCCACACAAGAATCGTTCTGGCAAACCAACATAAGGAGTGTAATACTTAGCTTTTAAACTTGCCTTATAGTTTCTGCACCTATCAGACAATCTTTGCAACATTACAAGTCAGATTTTAGGAATATTGGGAACATCTTCAGGCCGCCAATCTATGGTATCCTGCACTCATGCAAGTGTTATACCATTTACAAGTGTTATACTATATGTTTCAATACATATTAAAGCTGAAAGTGTTATACTATATGTTTCAATACATATACAACCTTTTCAACCTCGGTGTTAGTGGAAAATACCGGAGAATCTTCGCTGATACTTTCTTACTAGAATTATCCCCCGTTGAACTATCACCAACTCTTGTTACTTTTTTCACTTTGTATCTTGACGCACCACATGTAGAGCACACAGTTAAGTTTGCTGTCTCTTTCCAAAACAACATGCAGTCGTTAGGGAAAGCATCAATCTTCTCATAAGTAAGGCCCAAATCATAAATAATCTTTTTAGCTTGTGAAATAGGTGGTGGCAAACAATTTCCCTCAGGCAACATATCTTTAAAAAGCTCTAAAAACATATCAAAAGCCTTGTTAGTCGCATTTCCCAAACACTTGATCTGGTATAATTTTACGACGGCATCCAATTTTTTATACTTCTTGCATCCTGGATACAACTCCTTATCAGCTTGTTCAAGTAACTTAAAAAATCGCTCTGCCTCGAGTGTTCGACCATCAAAAACAGGTTGCCTCGATGACCCTACGTTCTCACCAATATTTGGTTCCACAAATGTCTCATTAAGGAAATCATGCATTTCACCTACATCTCCTCCTTCAGCAACATCCATTTCTATGATATTTGTTGATTCAACGTAAGGCTCACCATGATGTGTCCATCGAGCATTCATGTATAAAGGGTCCATTCCATGCCAAAGAAGATGTCCCACCACAGTCATCTTATCTTCAAAATAACGATTACAACATTCTTTACAAGGACATATGATCTTATCTTTACGACTAGACTTGGCAAGGGCTTCATCTACAAATAAGTTCAACCCTGCAACATAATCTGATCTTATCTTTACGACTAGACTTGGCAAGGGCTTCATCTACAAATAAGTTCAACCCTGCAACATAATCTGGACTTCGGCGATCAAAATGTACCCAACCCTGCAACATAATCTGGACTTCGGCGATCAAAATGTACCCAACTTTTATCCATTGTTTAACTATTTTGTAGACCAGAACACCAAATTGAACCTATTCACACATGCAAAACCTATTCAGTCAATGGTCAGAACTAAGTAAAAAAATGGAAAGAGATAGAGACAAACATCAAAATCCTAATGTGAAATGGAGAATACAACAGAAGTGAAAACAGTCTATCTGATGCATCAAGTTTGACATCAGTTTATATTGTATAATTAGATGTATGGTATCTAAAAAATATTGGGGAAAAAATGAATCAAAAAATACAGAAATGACTAAGCCAGTGGAAAACACATATGCAAAAGGATTGGTTTAATAAAATTGGACCAATCATACTTACTTTCTATACAGTGTTCTAATAGAATCCTAAATATGTTGATGATCTGAACTATAATAATCTGAATTAGTAACAAAACCAATGTCAAAGAGAGATGCAGTGTAACAAGATGACATATTTGTTCTAGCATAGTTTCTATGTAGCCAAATTGACCCATACCATTAATACTTCAATCCTGCAGTACTTGGCATGTTACCCTTCATAAATTGCAATACTAATATCAATTTTGGAAACAAATCAATAAATGACCGGGGTTCATGTTGAAAACATGACTCCGCTAAAGTGAGCCTGCCTGTAAATTTGGAAAGTAGTAGCATGCATCACAGAACCTTCCGAAAGTAATAGAAGAGGGACTAAATTCAGAAACACCGAGTTCAAAATTGAAGAAAATGGAAGTAGTTTAAAATTGAAGAAAATGTCCATCAATTCATTTTACAAAACTAGATGGAATAAGTGCTGAAAGAAGACAAAATAGGAAAGGGGAGCCTATGATTTGGATGAAAAAACAAGAAAAAAGTTTCTCATGGAAAAAAGGGGACTGATAAATAACAAATACTGAAAGATGATGGCAAATTATGTGGTTTTTAGTAACAAGGAACAACTATCAAGGACACTAGCTTGTTTTTTGTGCTAAGTACTATCAGAAGGGCTATACGTACAAGATGTAACACTTATCGTAAAACAAACTTTCTTTGGATACATATGATTCACATGGTACATCCTCTCATATTGTATGTCAAGGGAAATAAACTACAAAAACTATGAGGTATACTTGTTACTATTTTTTCCATTGGCGTCGTGCATTTATGATATGAGAAAATGAATTGTTCATTAGGTGATTGAAAATAGAGATAAACTAATATATTAAGTATTCATGTATACTCAGATATGACTAGACTATCTTACACTTGCTTTTATCTCATGGAAATAAAATTTTCATTTACCTAAGAATTATACTGAGTAAATTAGACACTCAATGTTTTAGAGAAAAAAGTAGATTTATCTGATTCTTCTACTCTTTGCAATAATTCCAAGGTCCTTGCTTCTTTTGCCATCATGACTGTTTCAGAGGGATCACCGTCTCTTGAGTTGCTCAAGATCAAATTATC